CTTAATTTTAAAATACATCTCTAAGAGTGCAAGACAGAGCCTTTAAAAAAAAAAAAAGACTCACTTTTTAAAGAAAAGTCTAGTCAAATATAGGATACATAGCTTTCTATTATAATCATGAGATTCTAATTTTTAAAAATGCATTTTGATTTTTTGGAGAATATCATATTATTAAACTAGTCTTATTTTAATTATGTATATTTGTAAATGACTCTGCTTTATATCTTATAATCTCTTTTCTAAACATCTATGTGTTTATGAAGTTCACCTCGGAAGCTGCATTGTAATGATCTGGCTAAATGATTCTTTTTCTCTTGTCATGAAATCTTCCTGAATACTTTGTGAAAAGCTACGGAAGTAAGAGAAGTCATTGGGTTAAATTTTAGGTCTAATGATAATGCTTGAGAAAAGGATACTCCCCCCGTTTGATTCCAAATCTGGAATAAATAAGGTCTATGTACCATTTTTTTTGTAATTGTGAAAAAACAATTGAGGTAATTTATATAAAAATTATTGTATTGTTAGGTTTAATAAGCAATCTTTCTGAAATGTGACCCTGCAAAACATTGAATTATTTTCTTAAGTCTTAGTCACAATATAGCAAAAGGCAAGTCTCAAAGAATCTCTGCCTAATGTTAAATTTCTAGAGATCTTTTAAAGCTACAAAATACAGAACAGGACAGAACTCATAAAACCTGTATTTCAACTACAGAGCAATTTCCCCAGTGAAATATACCCATCAACTTAATTCATAGACAGAGACAAAATCAAATTAGTGGCCACAGGGAACATTCCCCATCTCTTGTTATTATATGTGCATACACAAAACAGAGAGGGAAAGCTTGTAAAAAAAATAGTAGCACAATTTCTACATTCTTTTTATTTATGTACATAAAATAAATTTTACCGTAAAGTCTTTTATTTGGCAGATTTCTAAAATTATAGTGAAATCTCATTTCTGTGTTAGGATATCTCAGTTTGCTACTAGGTGCTCCAAAGAGTTATATGCAACATAGTGTTAAGTAGAAATTTTCAAGAGCATATGATTGAAAATAAAAGTTCTAGGTAGTACTTACAGCAGACTCATTTAGCTACTTACCTCAGCATATTCTCTTTTGATGCAGAAGTTGGAGTGTACTTTACAGTATGTTTCTTAGATTGAAATGGCTAGTTATCCAAAGAGGCAGCCTCTGTGGATGGTCATAATTTATTCAGAGATTCATTGTAAGCACTATAGTCAGCACAAGACTAACATCTTCTCCTGGGAAGGTTCTCAAGGTATTCTGAAGAAATATCTGTCCACAAGTTTGCATGACCAGGGAGATACTTCTTCTAATCCAGAAACAATTCCTGCATTTAATTTTCTGATTAATTTTGACTATGCAACCAAAAATAACTTTAAAAAATATTCTAAACAAACATTTAAAAATGTTTAGCATTGGAGTGTCTTAACTACTGATTTTTTAAAAAAACAAATGAGGCAAAGAAGAAGGAAATGAATACTTATATATTAGAGATAGAAAAGGTTAGATACATTGTTTTCAAACATTGGTGGTCCTCAATAAGCTATGTCTTGGATAAGAAGAAAGAAAAAAGAAAGAAAGAAAGAAAGAAAGAAAGAAAGAAAGAAAGAAAGAAAGAAAGAAAGAAAGAAAGAAAGTAAGAAAGAAAGAAAGAAAGGGAGAAAGGAAGGGAGAAAGGAAGGGAGAAAGGAAGGGAGAAAGGAAGGGAGAAAGGAAGGGAGGAAGGAAGGGAGGAAAGAAGGGGGAAGAAAGGCTATCTTTGGTTTCATTATAATCTATATTAGTCATGTGACACTTCCTCCTTTTTCCCTTTCTCTGTTTCTCCTCCCATCTTTTGGTATATACTGGGAATAGATATCAAATGAATAATCAAACCATAAATTTGAAAATTCCTTCTCACTCCAATAGTTCAATGGAAGGACAGTGAGCCATATATGTTGAAATCAGGAGGCCAGCATAACAAACAGGAGGTAATAGGGAATGGCAATGGAAATCACATTACTGTTTAAGATTCACTGAACTCTTCAGCATAATATTGCTCTAAAGAAAACTCTCTAAAATACATGGTATCCACCTTGAGGGGTTAAGATCTAAGTTAGATTGTTGAGACACTGGACAGAAAATCACCCTAGGAAAGCATGGGTCCTCAGAGTGAAAGATTTTTGAGTTCTAATCAACTTCAAGATCCAACAAACTCAGCATGGAATTCAGTTGAGTGGGAATAAAACCAGATGTCTTCATTCTCCTTACATGGATTTTCTTCTGTACAGAGTCATAGAAGATGCCTTTTGGTCTCAACAAATCCATATCTCCGCCCACTCTTAAGATGAGTTTGAGAAAGTAAAAGTTTTGTTTTAATATACAGGGCCACGAAAATTTTTCCTCACCGTGCCTCTCTGAAGGCAGGAACCTTGAGCCCCAAACTGAGGTGATCTCTCTTTGTGAGAAGAGTTTAGCAGTTAAAACAACTGAGTTGCATATCTTTGCTCAGGAAAGATTGGCAATTATGCCAAATTATGTCTAATAGTTTTAGAATGTGAAGTAGTGTTTATTAATGTCTGAAGGGAGGTCCTAAATCTCCTTTCCCCCAAATTCCAGTTTTGACTTTAACTGTCATTTTAAAAGATGAAAGAACTGGCTTCAGTAAATCAAGAAGCCTTGAATTTCATTTTTTAAATTTAAAACACACACACACCACACTATTTCTATTTGACGAGAATTGGTTATCTTTCTAAGTTTTCACCTAATTTGTTCGTGATATTTTATTGGATGTGAAACATGAACATTACTCTCTAGTTGAATCCAATTTTTCTTTATTCTTAGTTAACTTGCACTGTTGGCTACTGTATAGTTGTTCACTCTTCTTGAGTTTATAAATTATTATGAAATATTTTTGCATTTCTTCATTAATTTTAAATGTTGCATTTCTGTTCATGAGTAGTACACATAAATCACCAAACTAAAAAACAAAAAACTACAATTCCTGGCTTTCTTGTTTGTTTTTCAAATTATTAGGTATCTGTGGATCCTATGAAGCAGTATAACACAGTTTCCCTGTCCCGTCTGGAAAATAAGACAAATATTAAGTCAAATAATAAACAAATATTTCCATACATGTTAATCCATATTGCACAATTGAATTGAAAAGATTGTACCAATTTATGCTCTCCCAATGAATTTGTGACAAAAGGAAGCACCTTGTCAGTTCAACTGAGTCAACACAGCACAGCTCTGGGTTAGGGGAGGAGAGGTTATGTCAGGCCAAAGTGACCATGAACATTTTAGAGCGAGTGGAGTTACAGATGGATATTAAAGAGCGGGTGTGGTTTGCAGGAAGGGGAGAAGAGGAAGGGCCAATGTTCTAAGGAAATAATGTCTTTAACATATTGTACTAGCCTTGACCCTATGAAGGGCTCTAGCACATTCATTTAATAAGAGAGCTTCCCATTGCTTCTTTAAAAAAAAAAAAAAAAATATATATATATATATATATATATATATTATTGAATTTTTTGCAGAGTGGAAGAGAGAGGGATAGAGTTAGAAACATCGACCAGCTGCCTCCTGCACACCCCCTACTGGGGATGTGCCCGCAACCAACATACATGCCCTTGACCGGAATCAAATCTGGGACCTTTTGGTATGCAGGCCGATGCTCTATCCACTGAGCCAAACCCGTTTTGACTTCTCATTGCTTCATAAGCACCCCTGATAAGCGTTCTCCCTGACTTGATCTTGATCTGCCTCACTAACTGGGTGGAAAGGCACCCCGGAAAGTGGCATTGGGTGCTCCATTAAGTTCCAGGGGGGAAATGCACTCATCTTCCGAGTGTGACCCCCAGGGAGATTGCACATGTCTGCAGAGCATGTGCACAGTCCTGTCCCCCCAGTGAGGGAACATATATGTGTTAAGTCGCAGGAGCTTTGGGTTGTATGGCAAACACCCTCTGCCCTCTATCTAGTTGGCTGTCCTGGGTGTTTGATGGGAAGGTTCAGAAACTTAGCCAGTATCCCCAGTCCATCGAGGTTTTACAGGAGTGCCAGGAGCAGGGAGACTCCAATCAACAGCAGCAAGTGATTTGGCAGGAAACAATGAAAAGAGAAATATACTCTGTGCACAACGGAAACAATCCTGAAGCTGTAGTAAAAAGTGCAAGTCCCTGCTAGTAATCCTCCCACAGTTCCCTCCTCAGAGATAGGCATGAAGTTTAGTCTTTAAAGTAAAAGAAAACACAAATGAAATCATATTATCCATTTTTTAAAAAGTTAGCAATATAACAGCTTTTCACATCAGTACATGCTGATCTACATTCTTTAAATGGCTGCATAGTTTTCCAGTTTAATACACGTGATTTGTTTAATGACCTTCCTATTGGTATTTATCCCAATTTTCACTATAATGAACAATAGTACAATGAACACCTGTAATATATTTTGCTTAGTCATTCAAGCATTTGTATGTTTAGTTCCTCAGAGTGCTGGGTCATAGGGCACGGACACTTAAAATTGTAAATCAACATTGCTAAATTGAATGAAAAATATTGTACCAGTTTATGCCCTCACAAAAAATTGATTAGAGGACCTATTTTCTGACATTGTTAACAATAGCAAGTCTGACCATTCCCCCCCCCCCTAAATTTTAGCACTCTGATGGGGAAAAGAGCATGTTTTAAATTTAGATTATAATTCCCTTAGAGCATATATAATTTCACATGATAATTGGTAATTTATATTTCTTCTTTCATGAATTGCTAATTTGTGGTTTTTATAAAGCTTTCCAACTAGGTTCTTTGTCTTGTTTTTGAATCTTTATTCCCTTGAGTTTTATTTTCTATTCTCTTTCAAGATAACTTTTGGTTTTAAGAAGGAGTCTGATTATCTGAATAAGAAGGCAGTTTCCGACCAGGCCCGGCTGTGGGCGGTAACTTGGAGCGGGCCGAAGCGGGGTGATGGCTGTCTGGCCCCGATGGTCGCACCATGGCGGAGGAGGAGCTGGAGGCTCTGCGGAAGCAGAGGCTGGCGGAGCTGCAGGCCAAGCACAGGGATCCTGGAGATGCAGCACAACAGGAAGCCAAGCACAGAGAAGCAGAAATGAGAAACAGTATCTTAGCTCAAGTTCGGGACCAGTCAGCCCAGGCCCGGTTAAGTAACTTAGCACTTGTAAAGCCCGAAAAAACTAAAGGAGTAGAGAATTACCTTATACAGATGGCAAGATATGGACAACTAAATGGGAAGGTAACAGAACAAGGTTTAATAGAAATCCTTGAAAAAGTAAGCCAACAAACAGAAAAGAAAACCACAGTTAAATTCAACAGAAGAAAAGTAATGGACTCTGATGAAGATGACGATTATTGAATTTAAGATGCATAGACTCTGGAACTTAATGGAACAATTCCAGGACAGATAATACTTGGCAGTAAAGATCTGATTGAATGTTCGCTTTGTTTATCGTTTATATACTTTTAGAAAAGTAAACTTGTTATGTAAAATAAACAATTTGGGCAAAAAAAAAAAAAAAAAGAAAAGAAAGAAGGCAGTTTCCAATGCTGACTTTGCTTTAGTGTCTCCCAGGATGGATGGAAAGCCCTGGCCCTGGGGATCAGGAGCATCAGGTTTTCCTCCCATACTATCATTGACTAATGGTGTGATCTGGGGCATGCCACACAACGGTCTTCTTTCTCAGCCAGTTTTATTGGGGTATAATTGACAAATAAAAAAGTATATCTTTAAAGTGTGCAATATAATCTCCTCAATCAGGTTAATTAGCACAGGATATAGTTACATTATTATTGCTATTACTAAAGACCTGGTGCACGGAATTCATACACATCGGGAGGTCCCTCAGCCAGGCCTGTGCCCTCTTGGAGTCAGGAGCCCTTAGGGGATGTTCAAAAGATGGCTTAGCACTGCCATGGGGGCGGGAGAGGCTCCCACCACTGTTACTGCACTTGCCAGCCATGAGCCCAGCTTCTGGCTGAGTGGGGCTCCCCCTGTGGGAGGACACTGACCACCAGGGGGCAGCTCAGTGCGCATCATAGCGACCACTGTTCTGCTGCTCGGTCAATTTGCATATTAGCCTTTTATTGTATAGGATTATTGTTATTATTATTACTAGAGGCCCAGTGCACAAAATTCATGCACGGGGCGGGGGTGGGGGGTTCCCTCAGCCTGGCCTGCACCTCTTGCAATCTGGAAACCCTCGGGAAGTCAGGCAGGCAGAGTGGTTAAGGGTGATCAGGCAGGCAGGCTCCCTCCTCCCAATAGTGGATTCTGCGAGGAATGGGACTCCCTCCTCCCTCTTTTCATGGTCCAGTTTGAAGGCCGGCCACACCCCCGAAAACACAAGACCCAGAGTTCCGCAGCACCCTGGCAACCCAGGGCCCACAGACCCTTCTCACCACTGCACCCCAGCAGCCCAGAGCCTACAGACCCTTCTCACCTCCATGCTTTGGTGGCCTGGGTTAAAGACCCTTCTCACCACCATGGCACCTCGGTGGCCCAGGGCTCACAGTCCATCCTCGCTGCTGCCATGCCCCAGTGGCCCAGAGCCCTCAGACCCTTCCTGCCTGCATGCCTTGGTAGCCAGGGGCCCACTGTTCAGTCATCTGTCCTGGTCATGACGGCTGTAGGCTATTATTAGCATAGATTATTGCTGAGAAAGCTTAAGATCTACAGTCTAGCAAATTGCAAGTATCCAATACAATATTGTTAACTATAGTACCATTCTGTACATTAGACTCTTGGAATTTATTCATCTTATAACTGAAAATTTGTACCTGGAACCAACACCTGCCCATTTCCCAAACCTCCAGTCCCAGAAACCACCATTCTATTTCTGTTTTTATGAGTTTCAATTTTTTTTTTTGAATCCACATATAAGGGGTACTGTGTGGATTCTTTCTCTGCCTGGCTTATTTTATTTATCACAATGCCTGCTAGGTTCATCCCTGTTGTCACAAGTGGCAGGATTGCCTTCTTCTTTATGGCTGAATAATATCACATTGTCTTTATCCATTCATCTCTTGACAGGCACTTAGCCTGTTTCCACATCTTGTCTATTGTGAATAATGCTGCAATGAACAAGGGATGCAAATACCTCTTAGAGATACTTACTTTATTTTTCCAATATATATCCAGAAGTGGGATTGCTGGATCACACAGTAATCCCATTTTTAATTTTTTAAGGAACTTTTATACTGTTTCCATACAGCTGTACCAGTTTGTATTCCCACACAGTGTGTAAAAGTATTTCTCCACACTTATAATTTTTCTATTAATGAAATAAAAAGGTGAAACTAGATGATTTATGATGTCCTGAGTATAAATGAGTCCCAGGATAAGTTATAGTTTATCACTCATTCATTCATTTACTCTACAAATATTTATTGAATGCTGAATATTTGTGAAGCACTATGCTAAGGGCTGGGCATATAGTAGGAATGATTGTGACCCATACTTTTGTCAAGATTACAGTTTCTAGAGAGGAAAGAGGCCATTCTTTATCACAGGTAAATTTGTCACTATGTATTATGAAGGACTTTTGGAAAGCAATAGCATTCTATGAAAGCTTATAGCGGAGAGGCCTGGGCTAATTTGAGAAGACTGAAGATCTGGGAATGTCTCCATGAGGAAGTAATAGTGCAGATGAAACTTGAAGGATAAGTAGTAAACCATTGAACAGGGTGGGGAAAGCGGAGTGGTCCAGGCAGAGAACAGCATGTGCAAAGGTCCTAGAAACATAGGCGTTATGTAGACCAGTAGTTTGCAAAGTGGCCCGCATAAATGATCCAATAAGGTAGCTGTAGAAAGAAAGTATAAGACCTTGTAAGTATTTTTAATAAAAATAAGAAATAGGTTTTAATAGTATTTAATATACTAAGTACTGACACATTCATTCATTCATTCATTCATTCATTACCACAGTTTCATGTGGTAAGTGAGCATTCTAAGGAAGAGTGGAAACTTCCCAAGCCTCTGTCTCATCTGTAGTATTCTTATTTGTTCACTCAGCATGCAGAGACATACTGTAGTTTATACCTAAGCCGTCCTAAGTGGACAATTATAGCTGATAATATCTCACTCAATAGACATGCAGCTTAAAAAGATTCCAGCCAGAAAATCAAACTGAAGATAATATTGTATGAATAATGCTTTCACAATGGCCTTGTGCTCCTAAAACAAACTCTTCATTAGTCTTTTTTTGTTTGCTTGTTTAAAGTATTAAAAATAGTAGTACATATGTCTTTTCTTCTTCATTAGTCTTACTATAAGAGCAATGATGATCTAGTCAGTCAGATATGATCAGTCAGAAGTTAGTAAAAATAAATAAATACATAAATAAGTATTTAAAAGAAAGAAAAGAAAAAGAAATCTAAACAATTGGGATGACGACTTGAAATGGGTATTTACACTCACTCTGAATCTTCCCTTAAACTAACGAGAAGAGAGAAATGATTGGCCTTTTGAAAGAAACTTAGTACACTGAAGAAAACATTTTGAAATGGATGCTTAGAGATATTTCCACCTTTATTTGATATTTATTCCTGAGAAAAGTATGTATGTGTCCTACAAAACGTCTTGTAACTCTAGAGTTTAAAACCCTGGAAACAAAATTTTTCTAAACTGTTTTCAAATACTCTTAATAAAGAGTTTTAGTGAGTTCTGAACTGGTATGTTCCCAACACTAATACGTGGCCCCTTCTCATTCATTTTTAGCAGGGGAAGATGAAAATTCACTTGCTGAATTTCAATGAAAACTCTCTGCTAATTAGGATATGATTGAAAGCTAAGCAGAAACACAATGTTTTGCTAAGTGCAAACAATGATGTGCTTCTTCCTTCAGATTTACACCTCTTTGCGAAGTGACTGCTTCAGTTTTGACAAACAATAAAAGCAAATATTTTAAAACCAAACTGAGATTTTGCACGATGATAAGAATAACAAATAACAAATATATAAAATAACAAATGATACCTATTACTATTTTAGGTGAGAGCAGGAGTCTTTTTGTGCATGGTTGACAAATAAAAATCACTTTAAATATTTGTCTGAAATTTCAGCTCATCTTTTCCTAATTTCTATTTCAGATGTTTTATAATGTGTGCTTCTGAAGTTCCAAGTTAACCAATATATTGATGGCGAGTTTTAATCATTAAATGAGACTGAAAACTACTGCTACTGGCCTCAGTTTTAAGTTTCTGGAAGAGACGGATCTCTGGGTTTGAGGATCCAGAGGAGCGATTTGATCTTTTCAGAAAGCTTGGAGCAGCTGAATCAATTGCTCAACAATCTGGTCATGCTGTGGTACCATTGACAGATACATATAGATTCCTAACTCCTAATTCACACCATGCAGGACAATGAACCAACTGTCTGATGATGGCTGCTGATAATAATTTACTAATATTTGTCATTTCAGCTCTCAAGCAAGGTTCACACTCCACCAAGCAAATGCACCATTGATCAAACATTGGTTTGTTCAGGTGACAACTATATTATAGGGTCTGTTTATCTCACTGGCACTTAGGAAATTCAGTCCCTAAATGGATCCAGATGAGCTAGCTGGTTCGTGTGTGTGTGTGTGTGTGTGTGTGTGTGTGTGTGTGTTGGGAGATATACCAGGGAAGCTAAGAAGCAAAGATAGCAGGAAAAAAAATAAGAGTATTCAGGAATAAATACAGTGCCAAAACTTTGTGTATATGTGTATGTAGCAGAGGTATCTTTCTCATTCCCATTCAATCCTGGCCTTTCCTTTTTGTATAAGTATTTTCCACTATTTTCTTAAATGATACATCCTAGGGAGCTAACGATCATATTTTATATGTGCATGTCACATTGGGGGTTTAAATAATGCTAAAAGTGGTCATAATTTGCCTAACATTGGTTTGCTGTGTATTCTCCCTGACAGAGAAAAGTCAGTTTCCTAACTTAGGCTCTTTTCTACAAAATTTCAACCGGCTTATATATAAGGTAGGGTAGCTGGGACGAGTTATATATGTCACTTCATTTCCTACATTTCACAGCTTTTTCTTGGTTCTACCTTCTCCTCGGCCCTGTATTTGCTAGGACTGATGACTTACTCCGGAGCTTCGGAATCATCAGTAACTTATAAGTGACACTAACTCCTCAAAATGCACTCCCTCCATTCGCTTTCAAATGAAACTGTATCCCATTACAAGAGTTGTTTAGGGAAATCAAGGTCATTTTTACTACACATTTCATATAGGTAAAGTCATACAAAGAAAGATGTTAAAGTCAGCCTTCCAGAAATTCTTTGATTTACAGCTAATTTATGATCGCTTCCAAATTGCTTCTGCCCTGGCCCCAGCCCCAGCCCCTACCTGTACGATAGGGGC